TTTTATTTATTAATTTAAACACATAAACATTGGTACAAAGAGGCACCAAATAGATATGCACCATACAAATCTCATTTTCGTAAACAACACCCCCGCCACGAGAAGGCAGTGAGTAGGACTTCTCTGGCAGAGGCTGTGTACGCGTGGCCGTGTGAGAGCATTTCGAGAGGGAGGGCGGGACTACCCCACTCTTGGCCATACCAGGGCATTTGGGGGCATAAGTGTAGTGTCAGGAGTAGTATTCGAACCCACGCTCACAGTATCCAACTCATAGAATGAAATATCTAAATAGAGCTTCAACTTATTGTTTAAGAAAAACTGAAATAATAATTTCATGAACTTTCAAATTTCTTTATTCTTATTTGTTTTTCATTTTTAGCGTGAACGTGAAAACAATTTTTTAAATGCTTTAAAAAACAATATTGAAAGTGGTATGAAAGTAAGTGTGTAATAAATTATGTTGTGGTGTGCCAACTCGAACTGATATACGTACGTACGAAGTTCTACGTTGTTAATGACTGAAATTATGTTATTGTTTAGCTCTCCATCTCTCTTTCTCTCTATGTACATGTCAGTTAGTCATAATGAACTCAGAGTATGGGGCAAATATGTGTTAGTCCTATTTTCGTATACCATTTTATCACAACGAGATTAAATAAACTTGGTGAATCTAAATGATTGTCATCCCAATTATAATGAGAAAGACTAAAGACATAGAATATAGTTTGATAAGATGTAATGAAAAGGTATTTTTTGGAAGAATACTGGAATTTGAAATGTAGAGGTAAATTAAGTGTGAATACATCTGGACCATTATGACCTATTCTAAGCGTTCTTACTCAACCTTTCCAAACAATGATAGTGATTACCACATGAACCCCAACCAGTTAGTTTTCATCTATCAATATGGCTGAGTTCAACTATTAATTACTTCATAGATTAATGTTCAGTTTTGTTTTCGTCACCTTTCTGACTTCCTTCTGATACACTCTTAGCTCAGCCGTAATTGCATGTATGTGTGTTTGTATATGATTAACAACAATTGATTTCAATATATATAACTAGATAACTATTTCAATTACATTTTTACGGTAGTGTTTCTATTTAAATCACTGCAAGCTTTTATTGTGGCTAGGTAACGTTTTCCTTTGAACAAATAAATGTCGGATCGATAATGAACATAGAAACGTTCAAGATAATGTCATAAACTGTTTCATTCATATCCTGTAATCTGATAGATGTTAAGAATATATCCAATCATTTAGCAACAGTATATACGACATGCAATATTCATTTATTTAGACTAGTGGTTACATTACAGTTTTCGTTACCATTTTGATAAATCAGTATACCAACTTAAACTACTTTTGTGGCCCGGGATTTGACTCCACTTGGATTGTATGAATGATCGTTATTGTGAAATATACATTCTGATTATTCTCGTATATAATTATCGACTTAGATCATGTTAGTGAATAACGGAATTAAATAAGTCAAATACGAGAAGGGATGTTTTGAATACGTATATTTTGTACACATTGATCTGGATAGACGATCGGAGAGACGAAGCGAAGAGAAGAGAGCGAAGCGAAATGACGCGTAGTGGAGAATGGACGTCAGCTAACTCGGCTTAATCAAGCGTTAATCGACATTTATAGTCACGCAAAAATAAGTTATACACGTGATGAATATGGTAAGAAGTTTACCCATAAATATGCTCATGTAAAAGCAGTAAAAGTTGATAAGCGAATAATTAACAAGGTTGACATGTGACTCAAGAAAAATGAATAAATTAGCCTGTCCAGAAGCTAGAATTTATTTATTTATTTTAACACATAGATATTGGTACAAGGAGGCACCAAATACATATGCTCCATACAAATCTCATTTGATATGTGTAAGGGCTGTGATACTGCCCGGGTGCCCAATCTGAAGCAGGTGGTTTTCTTGGGGGGACATACCCAGAGCCTTCGACCTGAAGGTCTGATCCACATGGCAGTGGAGCAACGTAAAATGATGCAGTCCAATGGTAACCGATGACTAACGATTGGTTCATACGCCATTTGTTCCTTCAGGATACTGGAGACCATGTGCACCATTAGTTTGGAATCAGGGTTTTACAACTCCCCTAGGTGGGCTGTCCATGTCCACCAACCCGGTTAAAGCTCCGGACGTTTGCTTTTCGTCCTCTCATTTTCGTAAACAACACCCCCGCCACGAGGAGGCAGTGAGTAGGACTTCTCTAGAAGAGGCTATATATGCGTAGCCATGTGAGAGCATTTCGAGAGGGAGAGCGGACTCTCCTCACTCTCGGCCATACCAGGGCATTTAGGGGCAGAAGCTAGAATAAATTATTTGGGCTTAACATAGTAACCGACATTACACTACTTGTAAGTAGTTCATATAGAATTTTTCACTGATTTTGTTTATCATAAATAGCAGTTGTTTTTCTTTTTATTTAGTATTCTGTCTATTCTGAAATTTCCATTAGATTATACAAACTGAAGAAAAAGGTCGTGGAATAATTGCTACACGAACATTTTATGAAGGTGAATTTGTTGTGGAATATGCTGGAGATTTAATCTCAGAAAAATTAGCTAAACAACGTGAAGCTGTATATAAACAAAATCCAGCAATTGGTTCTTATATGTTCTTTTTTGTACATGCGTAAGTTCTCATCTTGTTATATTGTACAATAGATTTATTGTATTTAAACCTTGACTTTCAAATTAATTGACATGATGGTGAAAATTTGTAACGTAAGTGGAAATTTTTTTTCTGTGAGCTAGATGCTTTGGTCGTGAAGCTTTCATTGTTCTTCTCAACAACATCATCAGCACTAACTTCAGATAGAAGTGAAATGCTCGAATCTCCCTTCCTTTCGTCATTGGTCTTGATTGTTTATTATTGACCTATAACCTGTCTTTGCCGTCCTCCTTATTTTCTTTGTATCTCCCTTCGATTTGATTCTTGGCCCTATATATAAGGAATGCAATTTCTCCACGGTGACCTATTCATAGCCATGTTAACTATAACATCTCTAGTTATATCGAAAATTTCGGAATTTCTAGTCGTCGCCTTCATGTTAGCTGCTCAGTTTATAATTAAAAATCTTGAGTAATATGGCTTGAAATCAGTTGTACATGTCCATATTGCATTGATGCTTTTAGAACTATGTACTTAAAGTTTAATTGGTCTACTATTATCATATACTAATTTGGATCGATGCATTTATGTGTCAAATTCTGCATTGCTCACGATCGATTGATTGACTGAACCAAATTTGTGTTGTTTAGTTCCTATTACTGACTCAAATTATTATTAATTATGAGTACAACCATTTCAAAGATTTAAATTAACCGCTTCATTCTCGTTTTAGAAGTAATCACTGAACAATTTGACAAATAATTAATCTCCTTTAAAAATACAAAAAGGTATTGTTATTATTAGTATTAGACTCTTGCTGCACTAGTAAACACAACACAATACTCTTCAACCGAACCTTAACATTTTCCAAACTATTATCTAACCCAGCCCTCAAACTATTGGCAAATCCGAAAAAGAAACATAGTTAGAAACACAAACCTCGCTCCCAACTACGATAATCTATTGAAAAAAGAGTTTCATTTTTTTTCTAAAATTATTACCATATGCTCACTAATGACTAGCTTTGTGAGGGGATTTTCGGGGTTCTAATGAGAAGCCCTGACTAGTGGAGCTAATCCATGTCAGCTAGAGACAGGTATCTACCTCAGTACGACGGGAGATAGTCGCGCAATTTTGTGGGTTGGTTGAAGTTAGGCATTAACATCGTTCTATGCCGGTTCAGTGATCTAGAGCTTAAGCGTCTGCTCGCGAAGCCGACGGCCCTGGGTTCTAGTCCCGCGATCGGGATTGTGAGTGCGCACTATTGAGGAGTCCCACAATAGGACGGAACGGCCATCTAGTACTTCCAGGTCTTCAATAGTGGTCTAACATCAATCGGTTCATGATCTCAATCAAAATTCTTAGTGTTTCTTTTATAATCTTCCATTTAGAATACAGGTTTCATGAAGCCTATATATTATTACATTTCTCCAACACGAAGTGTATTAAATCATTTATTGTTTCAGAGGTCAACGGTATTGTGTAGATGCAACAGAAGAGACCTCACGACTTGGTCGACTGATTAATCATAGTAGATTAAAACCGAATTGTATTGTTAAAGTAATTCCAATTGATGGTGTTCCTCGACTTGCACTATTTGCACGTAAATCAATTTCTCCTGGTAAGTTGTTTTTATTTTATGTTTTCAGTGGTAGTCTAACATTGATCGGTTCATGGATTGAATGTAATTTAACATTCTATACAACTTCATACTGATAATGCTGTATTGCCTAATCTTTCAGGTTTGCAATGTCAATATTGGACAACTTGATTTGACATCATAATGCAATTTCCTTAAGGATTTATTGATTTGATAGTAATAATTAAAAGGATTAAAATCCAGGTTGTTTAGTCAGTTAGTTGGTCGCTATCCCGAAGAATCAAACCTACACCATACAGTTGGATGACATTTCTACTGTGTTATTCAAATCACGACTGATCTACCTTAGGAGTGTCTATTCTCTTGTGATGGTCGAATTATGTCGATCTCAGATCGCAGGTCTGAACCTTGCATTGAAAAACATCAAAATCTCAGTAGTTACCAATGTCGTTTCCACTTTAGTCCTGATCGAATTCTATCGATCCAACGTGTCCACCAGCTTAGGTTACTTGGCGTCAGCTGTGACGTCGTCGATTGGAAACCCTGGACATAGGTTTCTTGCTATTTGGCACTAGTTAGCAAGGTACGCTTGTAACCAGCCCCCAAATGCCCTGGTACGACCGGGGATGGAGAGAATCAGTTCTTCCTCTCGAAATGCTCACACATGACCACACATATACAGCCACTGACAGGGAAGTCCTACTCACTGCTTTCTCGCGACGTGCTTTTTCTTTACGAAATTAAGAGGTCAAAAAGTGAATGTCCGGCGCTTTAACCGGTTTGGTTGATATAGAGGACTTACCTAGGGGAGTTGGAAAATCCTGATTCCAAACCATTGATGCATATGGGCTCCAAGATCCTGAGGAAAAAATTACGTATGAACCTTTTACTGATCATCGGTATCATGGTACTGCATCTCTTTACTTTCCTCCACTGCCTTGTGAATCAGATCTTTATGTCGAGGGCTCGATGGTGTGGCCCCCTAAGAAGACCACCTGCTTCAGTTTGGGCACCCGGGCAGTATCACAGCCCATAAACAAATCAGGTGACTTGTATGGTGCATATGTATTTGGTGCCCCTATGTACCAATATTTATGTGTTCAAATAAATAATCTGGAGGGAACTACTACTCTCTGGTGATATCGGTCTCGTGTCATCTGGTTTCATGATCAGAGATGTTATTGCTTGCTATTTGGGCCGCAACTGATGAAAATTCAGGCACACATCGACTACTCCTGACCACTTTAAACTTGTCAACAGTCGATTAACAGTTATATATAATGCTAAATTCTATTGATGGTGTACTCTTAATTGATATTTTAATTATTCACTACACAATCTTGTATGATGGGGGTAGAATAAATTGGACTGTAGACCTTAACAAGTTCTTATGTTAATTACCATTGAGTTGGTTAAAATGTGATGAAATTTATATATACATTATGAAACCTCAAGGTATATAGTCGTGGTTTCATTCTAGTACATGAAACCTGTACTTTCATACACATAGTTCCCTTTATTACCTTAAAGAGAACAGGAACGAAGATTAGTGCAGTCATTTTGCTTAATATTTCGTAATGCCCTTATGTGGTCTTTGGGTGAAACGAGATATTGGTTTGCGATATCAACTAGTTTATATTTAAACCAGCCTATCTTCTCTTCACTAACTGGGTGCAACTCTTTAATTTGATCAAATAAATTCTCAAATTGAATTTCTGTGTCGATTCCGTCGGTATGTATTTTAAGGATATGAAATTTAAATTCAAGCGACAAAGCTTTTGTTTCTGTGTTTTAACTTCACTGTTGATAGATTCCAGAGAAAATTTTCGGAATTTTCCGGAAAACCAAACCATAAGTGTTCCTTCGACACGATCAGAGTCTCTGACAAAATTACGTGGAAATTCTTGCATATTTTGCTTTGCAAACCTTGGATAAAGTTGACAAATTTTATGCCACATATGATACTTAGGTCGTTGACTAATTCATCGAAGACATTAGTTTCTGCCCTCAAACGTTCAACCAGTAACTTTTTTGAGATGTGATGCGCTGAAGATTTTTAAACGAAGGCGAAAGTTTACATGAGCGTAAAGATTTTAAGCATTGACGTGAGAAACGGCATGACTTGAGACATTCATTGAAAAATTTAAGTCGAGTCATTTCTCTCGATATTCTTCAGTGTATTGTCACCAGGCTATTCAGTGACTTGAATGACTGTGCAGGGAGACGCATTTTGAGAAATTTCATACACATAGTTGCACCAATTCTCATTCTAGCTCTCTTTAAAACCTATACTTAATAAATGAGTTACAAGATAGGTTTTTCGATTGACGTATCAATGTACGTTGGTTCAGTGATGAACAATTGTTATTCAAAGATGGATAGTGGCTAGCAGTGGAACCCAGCACGTGCATTTCATCCTATTTGAGACTCCTCAGCTGGATATACCTACATCCTAGAGTTAATGTTCACTCCGGGACTCGAACCCAGCACTGACCAATTACAGTCCTAAATAACAATGAGAAGATACAGGTAAAACAATATCAAGTGAATCGTTATTCCATTTTAAATAAAATCGTCCTTGTTATTGTTTATTTTGCCCCCAAATGCCCTGGTATGGCCGAGAGTGGGGTGGTCCCGCCCTCCCTCTCGAAATGCTCTCATACGGCCACGCGTATACAGCCTCTGTCAGGGAAGTCCTACTCACTGCCTTCTCGTGGCGGGGGTGTTGTTTACAAAAATGAGAGGATGAAAAGCGAATGTCCGGCGCTTTAACCGGATTCCAAACCAATGTGGCACATGTACTTCATGATCCCGAAGGAACAAATGGCGTATGAACCAATCGTTGGTCACCGGCTACCATGGGACTGCATCTCCTTACGACGCTCCACTGCCTTGTGGGTTAGACCTTTAGGTCAAAGGCTCGGGGAGTGGCCCCCTAAGATAACCACCTGCTTCGGTCTGGGCACCCGGGCAGTAACGCAGCCCACACGCAATTAATGAACTGAAATTGTGTGGCGCATATATGTTTGGCGCACTCTTGTACCAATATATATGTGTTCAAATAAATAAAAATAAAATATTGTTTATTTATTTCTTCATTTATTGTCTAGGTGAAGAACTACTCTATGATTATGGTGATCGTGATAAAGAAACTTTACAACTTCATCCATGGTTGAAAACATAAACAATTCACCCCTTTTTTTTCTTTATTTTATTGATCAAATACATGTCGGTAACTACGATGATGATAATGGTAATTCATTTGTTACTACCGTTGTTGTTGTTGTTGTTGCTATCGTTATCGATTTTGGTTAGAAATTTTTGAAAATTATTTCCTCGATTGGATTTTCTTCTTAAGAGATCACTATGTTCTCTTTCTATTTCGTGTTTTCCTCATTGATACTATTCATAATGCTTTCTGTCTAGAAGATTATTGAATACATTTAGTCATAAACGTAATCGAAAAATTATCTTTACAAGTGTAGTCTGATAAAATGAAGTATTTCTCGCTTTTTTCATTCTCTTTTTCTTATTCTGAGATTTGGCAAATTGAACTGATGCATTTATGTGTCTGGTCCTACGTTGTAACTGACTGACTTTTTCTTCTTCTTCTTCTTCTTCATGGTTTCTTTCAGTTTTGTCAGTTTCTCCTTGAATTCTTTTGTTTGCAGACAAACTTTAAAAAAAAACCCAGACAGATTAGAGATGTCATTACTTTGTCTATTCTTTTATACGGGTTTATATATGTGTGTATGTGTTTGTCTGTGTTCAATTCAATTCTGCCATCTTTTTTTTTAGCTTCCTCATATTTTACTCTTTACCTTATGTGTATACCTTTTGTATACATTTTATATATATACTTGTCTACTTATTTCATTATTATTAGTAGTATTCTGATTAATGTCAATGTTATGTAAGTATTAGTAACTTTGTATTTATAATAATTACATCTCTGTATGTATATGTATGCACATATATATGTAACGATTTGTCTGTTTCCATTTTACTGTACTGTATGTTCAAAACTCCAGATACAATAACATTGGAATGAATTCATTCAAACTTGTTATCTTTGACATGGAAAAGAAACACGTAGCTTACAACCGACTATATCAGACTAATATTCGACCTCTACTTCCATATAATACAAAGATATCATGAAATATTTTATGAGAAGAAACCAACAGGTTAGCATATTTTTAGCGAGTTAGTTTTCTACGGGATGGAGTCGCTAATCTCCATGCCCAACCCTTCTCATTTACCCGGGCTTGGGACCGGCAGTAACTCTAGAAGAGCTACAGGCGGAATTAAGAAACCACCAGAGCAGAATAATTCAAGCATATAGCATTTCTATATAAATATATCTTTAACTACATTGAAAATATGATAAGACATAGCATACACTGACAAAGTGAATATGTAATATTTTCTTGAAGAAAGCAATACACCAACATGGGATGGATTTTTTATTAAACTAAGAATGATTGCTTCAGTGAAGAGTTATCTTTCCGGAGGAAACATGTACATAGGAAGGAGCAATCGTGATTTGCAGTTAAGGGTGGGTGAACATATACCAAAATGGTTGCAGAAACAGATGAGTTTCGATGGTCAAATAAGATCACATGATAGATTCACATCATCCTCTATTGCGAAACATTTGATTGAGACTGGTCAGAAGGTTGACATCAAGTCAGCATTTGTAGTGTTATACAAAAGCCTTCCAGGACGTATACTAAGGTTTATTGAAACATTGGCTATACGGAAACTGAATACATTCTTACTTATGTTCCAAAATGATTAATAATGGTCTTGAGTGCTGTTAGAGGTATGAAGGCTGTTATCAATTCCCGGTTGCCCACATCGTGGAAGGGATCTTCTGGAAGTGCCTGAGAAGGAAATTGAGTTAGAGGTGGTCTTAGTGATCTGAGAGCGTGACCAGTGCCTAAGGGACAACTTTCTCAGATCAGTTACACACGACCTTTTCGTGATTAATTTTTGTGTTAGCTTCGTACTTGTTGAGAATTTATCTCTGGAGACGGACATCCGTGGGATGAGGCGAGGTGTGCATTTTTAGGGTTGACTTTTTCTAACGCCAGCCCTCCATGTGAGAAGGTAGCATCGCTGTTATGCTGGTTGTCTGAAGGAAATACCTTACTGCTGTCACACCTCTGTGCATTCAGCAGTACGACTTTACCTTCGGACCTCGGGTTTGTTGGCTTTAGTTTTACCGCTCTTTAACCGACCTGTTTGGCATGGTAGGACCTTGAGGAACGATTTTTCCATCCAGTATAGCTCGACTTGTTCATCACGATAGGCAAGCCCGACCACCACTTCAAGGTAGCAACTACGGTCGGTTAAATATGGTGGCAGTGAAGTAGAATGAATAAAGGCATTAAAACGTTATTTTTTTTATTAGGCAAACTAATAATAGTTTTATTAATAAGGGGCTTGAATGTACGTCAACAAGATTGATAGGGAAATTATCATTGGTTAATGAAGATTCAGAATGTTGAAATTGAGATTAACTGTTATCAGGAGGATCATAGAAACAGAAGAAAACACAAGCATTTCTTTGAAGATTGAAGTTATATTCGGTCAAGGGGTACAAACACCATAAACCTTACTACTTGTTGTGTATTGCCTGATTATTTTTAACATCATTCTAGCTCAGCAGTACAGTATAGTATTCTTTTGATGACAATTCTACTTCCCGTTACTGAGATTATAGACATCTCACTAAAATTGCAGTTTTTCTTAATACATTTTAAGTTGTGTTATGCTTTATGTCCACTAGTATAACGTGAAGCAGTAGCTCAGTGGTCAAACCACGAAATGGTAGGTTTGAATCTAAATTCACATACTATGGCTCTGAAAATTAGATAGTGTCACCAGTCCTCACATATAGAGCGTGACTGAGAGGAAAGTACGCGAATATGAACCTCGTAAACAGAACATGAATGAATTGTCAGCATAACATATAACTATATTGTCTTTCGATTACATTCTTATATATATATATATATACTTAACTAGATAGTTTTCAAGTGTTTTTCGGCTCAGTGTTCATCTCAGTTCAAATTGTCATACTATATTAGGACAGCGGGATAAAATTATCTAAACAAATGTTAGAGATTCAGAGATGTTAGGAGTCAGTCAGTCAGCTACAACGTAAGACCAGGCATATATATGCATCGGTCCAAGTTGTCATACCTCATTAACACATCAAGATGGACACCGGATTCATAAAAGTAGTTAATTCAGAGGTGGTAATATATGAAAGAAAGATTGCAATAAGGATATAGTACAGGAAGAAAGAATTAGTTGGTAAAAAGAAAGATATGAAGCGATTTTAATCTCTTAGTTTAAGGGAAGACAGGGAGTGTATACACCGACGCCATTGTGATCAATTCTGAGCTATGTCACCAAGAGTCTCCAACCATTGGTTACGATAGTCACGCGGACCCCAACCAAGTAGTCTGCATCTCCCAACATGGCTCAGACTAGAAGTTAGTGACTTCAAGCACTGATGCCACGTTTTGGTTTTGCCGCCCCTAACTTTCTTCCAACCATCTCTAACACCGGGTAGCATTGCACGTCGGATGGTAGGAGTATCAGCATGAGTACAAAACTTTAGGTCTAAACAATACGATTCAAGAATAAAAAATGAATTCTGGGAATAAAAGTGTGGATCATTTTCTAACTCAAAGCATAAGGGAACACAAAGAATGAGTGCATCTACCCCATTGCAAACAATTTAAACTGTCTCATCCAATGTATCAACCTAGTGATCACGCTGACTATAACCTGTTAATCTGAACCTGCTAACATGACTAAGACCAACAGATAATAACTTCGTGAACTGATACCACTTTTTAATTTGTTCACCGTTAGATTTCTTCCAAACTACCTCTATTCTAGCAAACATGAATTAAAATAGAATTAACTTGTGGATGATATTTTTTATTGTTCGACAACCATTTTACTTATACCACAATCGATGTAAGCTTCTGATAACCATGTGCACTTTCTGAACTCTTTCTAGTATGTGCACAAGATTCTTTGCTGTTATTCTCCTTTCCATCCATCTATGTGTAAACTGGAAAAAGCAGACTGTTTAATGTTTCACTCCGCCTGAAGTCCCTCTGCGGGCTACTTCCGGTCCCAAGCCCGGATGAAGGAGGAGGGTTGGGCATGGGGTTAGCGACCCCATCCCGTAGAAAACTAACTCGCTGAAAAACCGCTAACCAGAAATTATTCACTGTAAATCACATTGTACTCGTTTTCGAGCATATAGTCATTCACTTCCATACAAGTTTCTATACATATTTGTGTGCTAGTCAGTATGTACTTGTTTGCTTATTACTTATCAACCATTGTGTAAATCTATATGAGATTGTACAGTGATTCTTGTATTCCATAATCCATAGAAAGATCATTCTATCTTCGTTCATACTCTTGTTTGGTTTTTCCCTTCATATGAATACCAGTAATATGTGTCCCAAACACTGGTATTTCAACTTTTGGTGTATCGTTTTTATAAAACGTGTTAAGTCGGAAAAACTAATGAGAAACAATGTTACATTATTGTCATTATTTGAAGCCACAATAGAGGTCAAAATGGTTTAATCGGCTACTAACCCAACAGGTCTGATGAGAATGAATATTTTCGTCATAGATTTTGTATAATTCTCAGTCGTAAGTCAACACCTATCAACTCAATAATTATCAGAAAGGGGTTTTGTCGATATTACAATGATTCAATAGTTGAGTTTATGAGTCAATTGAAGCTAGACGATCACGGAAAACCTGGAAGCACTGGATGGCCGTCTCGTCCTACTATGGGATTCCTCAGCAGTGCTCATCCACGATCCCACCCCGCGGGATCCGAACCCATGACCTATCAGTTTCACACACGAATGCTTAACCTCTAGACCACTGAGCTGGCTGGCATCCAGCCTGTCTAACTTTAAGCAATCCACGAATTTGAGCCACCGTCCACCATTGTCATCAGTGATTTACTACCTCACAACAGAGCCGGTTGAACTTCACTGGTCACTACTTCTCACTAGAACTCCAGGAAATACCTCTTGAAGCCAATCACTAGTGAACATATGATGACTATTATCAGAAAGGGGTTTTGTGGGTATTTTTAGTAAGTTAATAGTTGAGTTCATGAGTCAACTGACTAGAGAAAGCCAGGCTGGTTTTCGACCTGGATGTGGTTGTATAGAACAGATATTCACATTACGTCAGGTTCTAGAACACAGACACACGTTCAGACGCCCCACAATGGTAGTATTTCTCGACCTTAAAGCAGCATTCGACTCTGTCGATCATAAGGTGCTATGGCAGTGTTTGCCACTGAAAGGAGTACCAAAGAAGTAGATTAACCTTATAAAAGCTCTCTACTCGAACACAACTGGTCGAGTGAGAGCTTATGGCGAACTGTCATCAGAATTGATTATGTCAAGTGGGTTTCGTCAGGGCTGTCCACTCTCTCCATTCTTGTTTAACTTTGTCGTTGACGTACTTTTAGAGATAACACTTTCCTCATCTAGATTTCCAGGGGTTGAACTTCTACCGGGAGGTTCACTTGTTGACTTAGAATATGCTGATGACATAGTTTTATTTGGTGAAGACGCTGACAAAATGCAGAGTTTTCTGACCACTATAATCAACAATGCAAGGGAGTGAAGTAGTTGAGCGTTTCGTCCACTTCACTTATCTTGGAAGTCTCATCAGCTCTTGTGGTCTGGTGTGTGACAAAGTCTCAGCACGGATACAGAAGGCTCGAATAGCTTTTACCAACTTGCGTCATTTATGGCGTAGGCGATATATCCGTCTACCAACCAAAGGACGAGTTTACTTTGCAGCAGTTAATTCCGTCCTACTTTATGGCTGTGAGACATGGCCAGCAAGAGTAGAGGATATTCGTAGGTTATTAGTATTCGATCATAGGTGTCTTTGAAGCATTACTCGTATATTCTGGAACCACCGAGTAAGTAATGCAGTTGTTAGGAAACGGGTACTAGGTAAGGATGGCAAGTCAATTGATGAAGTAGTGAAACTTCATCAGTTGAGATGGCTGGGACATGTGCTACGTATGCCTAACCACCAACTGCCTCGACGTGCTATGTTTTATGATGTAGGAGTAGGTTGGAAGAAAGCTAGGGGCGGCCAGACCAAAACATGGCACAAGTCCATGATGTCACTGACAAATGGACTGAGTCATGTTGATAGGTGTAGACTACCTGGTTGGGGACCGCGAGATGATAGCAACCGATGGTTAGAGACACTGAATGAAATGGCTCAAAATCGTTTGCAACGGCGCAGATGCATCCACTCTTTGTGTTCTCCCAAATAATAATCTCAATTCTTCATGTCCCTTTTTTCCTTTTTCCATATTTATTTCACTGGATTATACTCCTTGAATAACATCTTCAAACCCTAATCTTTCCGATTACTGCTTATACTTTTACTACCTCTATCACTGTCGGATTTGAATTGACAATTGTATCCCTGTGCTAATGTGGTATGACAACTCGAACTGATGTACGTACGTATGATTGACTGGTTCAATAATTGTATATATATTACTTTACTATTTATAATTCGTATTGTTTATGATTTATTTACTTGTTCAACGGCTTTATTCCTAAAGAGAGAACCATTTATATACTTGTTATGATTTATTATTTCCAATAAGATGTATTTTAACAAGAAAAATTATTAAATTCAAATCGACAACTCGTGTAATATTTTGTAGAATAATATATATTACTCAAAAGTAATAATAGTAGTAAATATATGTCATTACTTAAATTTCATGTATAATATATTAAATCTACTGTTTTTGACCATCATTCTGAGCAAGTAATCGATATAAATGTTCATCACTCAAACATCCCTGAATAAATTCTTCTTTTGTCAATACACTATCTGAATTAATATCCATTTTAGTGAAAATTGTTCTTGTACGTTCTGCTGGTGTTTTACTATTCTCTTCGTCAATATCACCAACCATTAAGTGAATAGCCTGGAAAAAAAATTATTGTCGAGAAATGAAAATGAGAATGTTAGAAAATTAAATTGATAAATTAGAGATGGATACTTCTCGAACAGTGATGTTTTCTATTGATGAGTCTTCTCTTGTAGAGCGTCTAGGAATACTGCCGGTCCCAAGCTTGGATAAGGTATGAGGATTGGGCGTAGGATTAGTAACTCTCAAACTTCATAAAAAATCTCGTTGCAAATAAGCTGCCCAGAGATAAGTGATCAAACACACTGTTGGGTCGAGTACAGCAAACTTCAGTTTTCCAAGATGTATGGTACCTAAAAACTGAACTGTATGTCAGATGAAACTGTTGAGCTAGCTATTCCGAGTAATGAACTATTCACCTAGCCAAGATTACTGTTCATATCTCTATCTTTTACCCAATTCAGGTATATATATATACAAAATTACGTTTTTCCGCCTCTTTTGATGTTCTTTCATTTTCCCATCCCTTAGTTCAGTTAGGCGTTTGGAACGTGCTTATTCTCTGAAATGTACCGCAGTCCATAACATCAAAGACGATCAAAATCAGAAGAGTGTTTTGGTTGATTTACTAAATTAACATCACAGCACCTATATATCATTATTATATACTATTTGATTGAGTATTTATTCATTAACGGATCTCCCTACATTATCTGTCTTCTTTCATTAATTTTGTACTACTCAATGCATTGAATTTGTACATAAGTAGGTTACACAGCGGATCAAATCACTTGAATCAGTATAATTTACAAAGATAATGTTGAACACAATTAAAATTAGGGTTGGATTTTTGAAGAAATCACAACTCCCCCTTCATATATACCACAAAGAAAATCTATATATACATAGAATAAATAAAGGAAATGAAGTTTTCAAAGGAGAAAAGCATTCTTTCACAATAGTCAATAATATGTGTGAGTATTTGGGCAGCATCGTCGATGAACACAGTGGATCTAATGAAGATGTGAAGGAGCGGATCGGTAGAGCAAGAACAGCATATCTAGAATTGAAGATCATCTGGAACTCAAAACAACTATCTGTCAACCAACACCAACGTCAGAATTTTCAATATAAATGTCAAGACAGTTCAACTGTATGGGGTGGAAACCTGGAAAACTACAAAAGCCATCATCCAGAGGATAAAAGTGCTTACTAACAGTTGTCTGCGCAAAGTACCTCAGATCCATTAGCCGGACACTATCAACAACAACCTACTGTGGGAGAGAACAAACCAGATTCCAGAGGAGGAAGAAATCAGGAAGAAGCACTGGAGGTGGATAGGACACACATTGAGGAAAGCACCCACATGGAATCATCAAGGTTGAAGGAAAGGAGGAAGATCAAAGGACAGATAACGTTAAGAATTGGAGACATATGATAAGAATGAACAACAATTGGATGGAACCAGAAAGGAAGTCCCGCGACAGAGTGTGTTGAAGAATATTGGACGTCGGCCTATGTCCCATTCGGAGTAACAGGCGTAAGTAAGTAAATAAGTATGAGTGCACATTCAAAGTTACAGGCTTTTAATTTAGTCATGTTTTACAGATGCTTTGTGACATGGCTTTTGTATTTTTCGTTGTGTGCATAAATTTTTATGAACCTGATTCTTCGATAAATAACTGTCTCACACCCGACACGGTTGTACTTCACTGGTCACGGATTTTCACTAGAACTCCGAGAATTATATCTCGAAACTAATCACTACTGAATACATAGTAATTATCAGTATAGGTTTGTATAGATTATTGTTATTTGAACACATAAATATTGGTACAAATGAGCACCGAATGCATGTGCACCACAAAATTCACATGATTTGTGTCTGTGGTCTGTAATACTACCAGGTTGCGCAGACTAAAGCAGGTTAGATGGTTAAATTTTAATTGAGATCATGAACTGATCCATGTTAGATCACTATTGAAAAACTGAGAGTTCTAGACAGCCATTTCATTTTAGTATGAGACTAATTCCTACCAAGATAAGATTTGATCATTTATCCTTCGCCGAACTATCTATTCCACTTGACCCATTTATTCAAATAACTAACCTTAATTCTGTTCATTTCTCTCACTATTCAAAGGAAAAAAATCTACAGTTGAGATCATGAGTCAATTGAAGCTAGACCACCATGGAAAACCTGGAAGCATTGGACGGCCAACTCGTCCTATTGCAAGACCCCTCAGAAGTGCGCACCCACGACCCCACCTCGTGGGATTCGAGCCCAGGACCTATCAGTCTCGCGCCAGGCGCTTCACCAACTAGATCACTGGGCTGGTCGGCATCCAACGGTGGTAATGTCCAACTTCAACTAGTCCACGAAATTGAGCGACACATCCATCATTGTCATCAGTGAGTTACTATAGGACGAAACGGCCGTCCAGTGCTTCCAGGTTTTCCATGGTGGTCTAGCTTCAATTGACTCATGATCTCAACTGTTGAAATTACTACAATCTCCACAAAATCCCTTCTGAAAAAAAACCTACTTACATAATCAAATTTCAATTTGCTTCCTTCACATTACGAATTACACAGTTTGTTTTTGTTTGTTGGGTTTTTTTGTTTTGTTTTGTACCTGACTGCATGTATATAAATATGCTAAATGACTAAAAATGACATAATATTGACGTAATCAGATCAATTTTGACTTTGATTTAACCAAATATTGTTCCCTTTTTTGTATTTTTTTTCAATTATACAATTTGAACTTGTGGTAATTAGATTCGGTTATTTGTTTATTTGTTACTATGGTAATAGTTTATATTACATCATAAAATGTCAGAAATTCAATTTGCCACTCATTGGGATATCAAGATAGGTATATATATATATATATGATTAGTTTATTATTAAGAATTTGGGTTAGTTTCTATCTTAGATATTGAGATTTTATCAGTAATCGGGTTGTGGAGATTATTATTAAATTTTTGATTAAGATCATGAATTGATTGATGTTAAATCACTATTGAAAACTTGGAAGCACTGGATCGCCATTTCGATCCCACTGGGTTTGAATCCCGCGAGCGAGATCGTGGATACGCACTGTCATGGTGGAGTCCCACTATAGGATAAAAACGGTCATTTAATGTTTCCAGGTTTTCAATTGAGATTTTAGCTGAGTAGATGTATGTCAAAGTCTATTACATCAATTTGTTTGGTTGTCAGGGGGAAATTATTAAAACTTTATTCAATCAAGCAAAATAATGAAATAACAAATGATAAAACTATCTTGACTGCTTATTTAGATATGTGGGTTACTTGTTTCTACCATCTACATATTTTAAAAAAGATTTTCTATTTTCTTGTTTATTTCAACACATCATTATGCCTATTAATTGGATAACCTATTCAGGTACGTTTATGAAAAGTTTACGATCTTTCACTGTACATGTTACAAAAGAGCCCAATCACAGACATCATTGTCACTGGCATTATGCATTGAAAAGAATCAATATAATTCAACTATCGATTCCTGAACTGTTAACATCTAACTGACGATCATTTAATATTTATCGTCGATATCGATCACGAAATAAGAAGAGGAAACTTGTTGTTGTGCTAAGAATTCTATGAGTCGACTGAAGCTAGACCACCATGGAAAACCTGGAAGCACCGAACAGCCGTTTCGTCCTAGTATGGGACTCCTCAGCAGTGCGCATCCACGATCCCGCACCACGCGGGGTTCGAACCCAGAGCCCACTGGCTTCGTGCGCGAGCACTTAACCACTGGACCACTGAGCCGGATGCGCACTGTTGAGGAGTCCCATACTAGGACGAAACGGCTGCCCAATGCTTCCAGGTTTTCCATGGTGGTCTAGCTTCAATCAACTCATGATTTCAACCTGTGAAATTTCTAAAACTCTCCACAAAACCCATTCTGATAATAATCAACTGTTCACTAGTGACTGACTTCAGGAGAACCTCCTGGAGTTCTAGTGAGAAGCCGTCACCAGTGGAGTTCAACCAGGTCTGTTTTGAGATATCAACTCACTGATGACAATGGTGTACGGTGGCGCAACTTCGTGGATTGGTTGAAGTTAAACATTAACACCGTTGGATGCCGGCTCAGTGGTCTAATGGTTAAGTGCTCGTGCACAACCTGTGAAATTTCTAAAACTCTCCACAAAACCCATTCTAATAAGAATTCTATATTGTACCAAAAATACAATAGGGAATAAAGCTATTAATAATAATAATATTTTACTTAGGGAGATAACACATACTATTCATTGGATTAAACTTAGTTAATTCTTAAGGATTTTTGTTCAAATCCTTATTTACTAATGAATTGGAAATTTGTGGAAACCAACTATGCCTTAAAGAGTCATTTTCTTTAATAGTTATCTCTCTTCCTATCAGTTTGTTTGTTGACTTGTAGTTATGAGTACCAGAAGGAGGTTTTTAGATATAGTAATTTTAATAGTTGAGATCATGAATCAATTGAAGCTAGACTGCCATGAAAAACCTGAAACTACCAGGTAACCATTTCGTCTTAGTGTAGGACTCATCAGTAGTGCGCATAATTGATTTTACTAACCTATGTTTATCCAATACTACTAGCTTTTCAATAGTTGAACTCATTAGTCAATTGTAGCTAGACCACAATAAAAACCTAAAACCATTAGATGACCGTTTCGTCCTATTGTTAGACTCTTCATCAGTGCATTTTGTCAAATTAATAGTAATCATAAGTAGTATCAGTGAATAGTAGAAAAGAAAACCACCATTAACCTTATTACTTATATAAGTATAAATAAATAAAGGTAATAACTTACTTTAATAATTTGTGTCATTTCATATTCTTCAATTGTTCCATTTCTATCAATATCATATAATTGAAAAGCCAATTCAAGTTTCTCCTCTGGACTACCTGATTGAGTAATACTAATAGCCTGTATTGTATTGTTTTTGTTTTTGAATAGAAAAACACAAGCAAACAAACAAACAAAATGATTTATACTATTGATAAGATAATTAAGTAATATATAATGAACCTAGATACAATCATATTTTCTCATAACGATTATGGATGTTTATCTTTATATCTATGGTTGAATTGATTCATATAAATCTCTTTTGTACTAAAATATAATAAGGAATTCTTAATAGATATTCAATCAATAAATGATTCTTGTTTTAACAAAGTGGTTTTGTAGAGATTGGTTAAATTTGTAAATGGGATTAGACCTCCCGTAGGACTGAGGTGTATTCACATTTGACAGATCACGGGGTGGTGATCAATGTCGTGTGTGCCAAGTATTTCATAATGTCGAGTCACGTAGACTAGTGGCTACATTGCAACTTGGTTGATAGCATTCGATCTTCACTTAGAGCGACTTGACACACATGACATTGATCGCCACCCAGTGATCAATCAAATGTGAATACATCTCAATCCTACAGGAGGTTGGTCGCGTCCCGGATAGCCAAGTGGTAACGTCTCTGACTGTGAAGCTGAGTGACATGGGATCGGATCCGTCAGGGAGCACAAGTTCCCTCAGTATTACCGGCACACCTTGCTGACGAATGCCAAAGAGCACGAAACCCGGATCCAGGATTTCCTGTTGACTACCTCCAATTACCATTCTACAATGATTTATGGGCCTCATTTGAGCAACACCAAAGTGACCTTGAGAGTGTCTACCTAATAACTAGAAGCAAATGAGGATTATAAACCAGTATGAGGAATTAGAGTTATGATTTACAGTTGATGGTTACGTTTAGGAATTAGATTTGGTGTTTTCATCACGAATTGACATCAACTATAATACCAAAACCTTATTTAGCCAAATGGATAAGTAAATTTCGTGTTGAAATCCGAAACCTGTTATCTTGTATCTGATTGATTCTTCCATAAACTAAGGTCTCACTGTAGATGGTATTTGTCAACGGTTGATATGAGTTTAGATGCTAATGGAATCCACTGAATACAGTTTATATGTTTTGATCAAGTGTTGTACTGCCTAGCACTGTTCACCTACTACCTCCCATCATGATTAGTTTGTTCTATAAATAATCTGTACATGCTTTGTTTATTCGCTCCCACACATATATATATTATGAGTAAGGCGAATAATATAAAAATAATGGTTCTTTTACATCAACTGCGAACTATAACTAATTATAAATGCTGTAACTACTCTAATGTAAACAAAAGCTTATTCCATATTATATGAAAGCTTTTACACCTCATTATGATGTGGTTTTCTTTATTTATTACCATAATTAATGTTGTGTTTATGCTATAACTGTGACGGCAGCAGATTAGAGGACAGCGAATTATCGATCGGACCAAAGACGCGCAAACACGTAAGAACGGCCTAGGGTTCTGATTGGTCCCGCTTCCCTGTCTAGCCCAGCCAGTTGAGTCCAGTACGCAAGTCTCAGCCTCGGAGATATGAATCATTATATTTCAAACATACTCTGTTTATATACCAACCAAGCAGACCACATCGTACCATAAAATAGAAAACAACATTTTGTACAATATCGACCAGTAGGAAAACGACACGTGAAGTAAATAGTGACCAATAAGAAAACAACACCATTTCAAGTCCAAGGATAGCGTTAGACTTAACAGAATAATTTTTGGGGTATTTTTCCGAATATCCCAACAGTTTATGATGCTTGACTTGAATAAAAACTAAGCTAGTTATTGCTTTTTTAATTGGAAACTAAACGTTTTTCTGTGACGATTTCTTGTTACAAGCCACATAACAACACTTTGCTACTAACCAGAAATAAAGTAATATAGATATCAGAAAGGGGTTTTGTGGATATTATAGTAATTTAATTGTTGAATTCACGGAGAATCTGGAAGCACTGGACTGCCGTTTCGTCCTATTGCGGGACTCCTCAACAGTGCGCATCCGTCTCGCGAGATTCGGACCCAGGACCTATCAGTCTTGCGCGCGAACGTTTAACCTCTAGACCACTGAACTGGCCGACATCCAACTGTGTTAAGGTATAAATTCAACATATCCACGACGTTTTACCACCATCCACCATTTTCCTCAGTGACTTACTATCTCACAACACAGCCGGTTGAACTCCACTGATCATTGCTTCCCACTAGAACTTCAATGTTTCCAGGTTTTCCATGGTGGTCTAGCTCCAACTGACTCATGGATTCAACAATTGAATTGATATATATATAATGACAAACATTTTTAATTGATTTTTCAGCTAACCATCAATTCAATTCGTTTGTTAATATAATTCTTGAATAGAAAACATTGTGATTGTTCAAACTGTCAATAATCAAATTATATAACACGGGATATGATATCAATTAAAAACAAACTATTTACTAAAAGTGCCTCCAAATGCCCTGATGCGGTCGAGAGTTTTGAGAGTCGGCTCCCCCTCTCGAAATGCTCGCTCATGGCCACGCGTATATCGCCTCCGCCAGGGATGTCCTACTCACTACCTCCTCGTGGCGGGGGTGTTGTTTACGAAAATGAGAGGACGAAAAGCGAATGTCTGGCGCTTTAACCGGGTTGGTGGACACGGTGAGTCCATCTAGGGAAGTTGGAAAACCTTGATTCCAAACCAATAGTGCACATGGGCTCCAGTATCCTGAAGGAACAAATGGTGTATGAACCAATCATTGGTCATCGGTTACCATTGGACTGCATCATTTTACGTTGCTCCACTGCCATGTGGATCAGACTTTCAGGTCGAAGGCTCCGGGTGTGTCCCTCTAAGAAAACCACCTGCTTCGGATTGGGCACCTAGGCAGTATCACAGCCCTCACACTAATCAAATGAGATTTGTGTGGCGCATATGTATCTGGTGCTCCCTTGTATCAATATTTATATGTTCAACTAAATAAATAATTTACTAAAAACTGAAATACACTTCACAAATCCATTTCATAAAAGATGAAATTTGGGATAATTGATTGTCTTTTGTTTTTATATATGAAGTTACATGTTGATTGTAATCATTGGTTTCATTGATATATGTCTACATTAGATGTACTTTAATATATAAATCTTTTATATCCCTATCATTAAGTGCTAGCCATATTGAATTTTTTGTCATTGTACGTTTTTAGTGAAGTACGGAACATGATGGCGCCCAACTATATTTGAACATGTTATCATGTTTGTTTGTTTTTTTTCTAGTTCAATGTTAACACTATAAAATCAATACAATTACATTCATATTTTGATGGGAAAATTTGTACCATATATATGAATTGATGATTAGGATTTCTACTCAAAAACTTCCTAGATGATTTATAGATGAGATTTTTAATTTATGGATAACATTTGTGTGAAGCCAAACTAATCTTGAAAGTGTCCACCTGATAACTAGAACTAAATGAGAGTTATAATTTACAGTGGATGATCAAGGTTAAAAATTAGATTTAGGGTTTTCATCACGAACTGATATTGTTTGCTGCATCGATGCATACTGCTCCTCTGAAAATGCATTGAATGTTCCAGCACCTGTAAGTGTATGTCATTCCACAAGTAGTATTATAGGAACTTTAGATATTTGGCCATTTTTATTAGTGCATTCCCTAAGTAAAACCACCTACTCGCTATCACTTTATGTTAATACCGTCCCTAGCAAGTTTAACTAATTTGAATAACATCAACAGTATATCACCGGGTCACATGACACATGCATTTAGGTAAACCTGATTCATATATTTTGGTATATCCTGGAGTTCTAGTGAGAAGTAGTGACCGATGGAGTTCAACCAGGTCTGTTGTGAGGTAGTAACTCACTGAAGACAATGGTGAATGTGTCGCTCAATTTCGTGGATTAGTTGAAGTTAGACATTAACACCGTTGGATGCCGGCTCAGTGGTCTAGTGATTAAGTGCTCGGGCGCGAAACCAGTAGGTCCTGGGTTCGGATCTCTCAGGAGGCGAGGTCGTGGATGGACACTGCTGAGGAGTCCCACAATAGGACGAAACGGCCGTCCAGTGCTTCCAGGTTTTCCATGGTGGTCTAGCTTCAACTGACTCATGATCTTGACCATTGAAATTTTGGTAATTACTGCTCTGTTGTTCCGTGTTCTCTGTTTTCGTTTTAATTTCTCTAGTTTTAGATAATTATCATCAATTCGATCTGGCACACGAAATAACCTCAATTACTCCGTTCATAAATCAACGGGCTGTCCATTTAAGAAAAATTAAAAGTTGCCGGCTGATGCATTGGATCACTGTAATACATGTACTACTGAAACAATTACTGAACTAGTATACTTAAAACTTTCTTCTATCACATGTTTGTTCTGTACATCTAGTGTTACTATTGATATCAAATTGATCATGCCCCTGTAAACTGGCATGAATTCTGTAATTATTTATTTTTAGAATATATTAATTATTATTATGCCAAAACTCTATGGATGAGTGAATTTCGCGCCAAAACCCAAGATCTATTATCTTAGACCTGATTGGCTCGTTCATAAATGATAGTTTCACCGATTTATGATATACATTTGAACAGGTAACTTAATAGCAACAGAACAAAGCTCAAACATTAACCTTCTAGAATGAAGTAGATATCTTTAAAAAAAACACAATAACTTTTGAAATCTTCAAGAAAGGCTTGTTTTTCTTCTTAGCTTTCTGGTTGTCATTTATTTCGTGAAAGAGCAAATTCTATATTATCAGAATGAGTTTTGTGGAGATTTTAGGAAATTTCACAGGTTGAAATCACGAGTCAGTTGAAGCTAGACCACCATGGAAAACCTGGAAGCACTGGACGGCCGTTTCGTCCTAGTATAGGACTGCCCAGCAGTACGCATCCACGAACCCACCCTCCGCGGGACTCGAACCCAGGACCTACTGGCTTCGTGCGCGAGCACTTAACCATTAGACCACTGAGCCGGCATCCAACGGTGTTAATGTTTAACTTCAACCAATCCACGAAGTTGCGCCACCGTACACCATTGTCATCAGTGAGTTGATATCTCACAACAGACCTGGTTGAACTCCACTGGTGACGGCTTCTCACTAGAACTCCAGGAGGTTCTCCTGAAGTCAGCCACTAGTGAGCAGTTGATTATTATCTGAATTAGTTTTGAAGAGATTTTAGGAAATTTCACAGGTTGAAATCATGGATGCGCACTGCTGAGAAGTCCTATACTAGGACGAAACGGCCGTCCAGTGCTTCCAGGTTTTCCATGGTGTTCTAGCTTCAATTGACTCATGATTTCAACCTGTGAAATTCTATATTGCTTGATGTGTAAGCGAGAATGAGAATGATCGGTTGTCTGCTTAATCAGACATGTAGATAGTCTGACAGGTGTGTCAGATGAGTTATATATTCCCTTATCCTTATTATCATTATTACTCACTTATTATTGATTGTTCATTGTTGTTGGATTGTGTCGGGTTGTTGGTGTGAAAATATATTTACATTATTCTTCGTTAAATTTAAGTAGTTATTATATATGTCAGGACGGTCTACGGGTGAACTCGAGGAAGCTGTAAGAAGCTGAGAAAGAGCTGAAGATATTCTGTCAAATCATCTTTTGGAAGAATATACTAGAATCTCTACGTATAGCTTCCCGATTGGACAATGCTAATAACCCCCTGTGTGAGGATTGGATAGATATAATGATGATTTCGTTTTTACTAAAAACTATAAATACTTGACAGTTTTGTACTATAATTGATACACATTCCTTTCAATTGTCTTCTGTCTTCTCATTTGTGACTTGGAAGGGTTCTAGCGTTCAAGTGTTCAAGTTATACGCGTCATATCAGAATATAAGCTCTAGATATAACAAAATAACTCCCTTAGTGAGTTAATATACATTGGAATCTTAACATGAGTTTAGAAAGGTTTCTTGGTTTTTACTGATTCCTGATATTTTTAGTACAAATTAGATGTATGAATACCAGCCAGAGGAGTATGTAGATAATATATTGGGTAGACTATTGAAACTATTAATTGTACTCATTAGTAACATACCATAGAATCTTTTTTACAATCAGTGCTACTACTATTTGCTATATCTTAACCCGACCGTTGTTGCTACCTTGACGTGGTGGTTGGGCTTGCCTATCGTGATGAATCAATCGAGCTATACTGGCTAAAACAAACGTTCCTGAAGGTCCTACCATGTCAGACAGGTCGGTTGAAGAGCGGTAAGACTAAAAGCAACAAACCCAAGGTTCGAAGGCGAAGTAGTACTGCTCATTGTATAGAGGTGTGACGGCAGTAAGGTGTTTCCTTCAGACAACCAAGCATAGCAGCGATGCTGCCTTTCCACAAGAAGGGGTGAGGTTAGAAAAGGTCGACCCTAAAAATGCACATCTCGCCATATCCCACAGATATCTGTCTCCGGCGGTTAGGTCTCAACAAGTACGGAGCTAACACAAAATCAGTTACAAAAAGGTCGTATGTGACCGATCTCAAGCAGTTGTCCCTTGGACACTGCGGTCACGCTCTCAGATCACTAAAACTGACTGACTGATTAGATCTCAGCGAAGATTAAATTACGAGTAACTTCTAAGACCTTTTAATGGACTAATATTATCTATATATTCCTATTGTATAACTGTTCAGTAACCAGATTATGTATATTTATATTTCTTTTATTATAAGCTTCATTTTGACCTACAGACTATTTCGACGATACGATTTACTATTCTTAAGTTACACACAGTTTAGTAATTACAGTCTCCCACATTTACAGCCATTTTCTGACTTGATCTTGTATAAATGTTATTTCCTATTTTATGGTATGATGTAGTCTGTTTGGCTGGTATATAAACCAAGAATGTATGAAATAAATGATTCGAATAATGGAAGCTAATACTGGTGTTCTCAACTCAACTGGACGGACTAGGCAAGCAAAGGACACTAGGCTGGTCAGACCGATCGAGCCTCGTTAGTTTGGCACAGCACAAAAGTGAATAAGTCGTAATTCGATTGGTGAATAAATTACGGGATAACTAAACAAACTTAAAGTTACAATACGATTCTAATATTCATGTTGATCATTTCAACTTCACTGATAGTTTGTAACATTTCTGGCCAGTGTACATGTTTTCTGATTTCTTATATTGTTTCTGACTGACTGATTGACTAATCTAATTCACCTAGTCAATATACAGATTTTAACAATAATAAACACTTGAAGATAGTTGTTGCATTAAAATGATATAAGTTTTTCAAATCGTTGAAAGTCATTAAGTACAAGACACTTGCTTCTTTTTTTTGATGGAGTTTTGTTCTCTTAGCTGGATGGTTTGATTGTGGAACTTTCATCGTTCTTCTGAACGACATCATCAGTATAAACTTCACGTAAAAGTGAATTGTTCAAATTTCTCCACATATGATTCACAGCTTGTTTTTTACATCTCTACCTGAATTCTGTGCTGATGATATAGTTCAGAAGAATGATAAAAAGCTCCATGACGAAACCATCCAGTTCAGTGACGAAAAAAATTTCATCAAAATCATTCATCTAAGCGACAAATCATCTCCATTTACTTCTTTCTACTTTAATATTCAGATATTAGAATTCAATTTATTAATCTACTTACTGTTAAAAATTCATTGAAATCAATACTTCCACTAGCATCTTGATCAAATGTACGAAATAAATGTTCATAGAATAATCTAGCTTTACCATCTGGAAAAAATTGTGTATACATACTAAGAAATGTTGAACGATTCAATAGACCTGAAGGACAATCTTTCTGTAAAAATAAATTGAAAAAGAAATAATAATTTAATATATAATTAGAGAGAGAGAGACAAAATGTGTTCCGGAAGTGAACATCAACTCTGAGATTCAGGTGCGCCTAGCTGAAGAGTACCGAATAGGATGAAGCACACATCCTGCATTCCATTGCTAGCCACTAACTATCGTGGCTTATAATGCTTGTGATTTAAGGCAATATGCACAGTATGTACATATATCAATAAGAGATTGATCAATTGTAGTCATAAAGATCAATGAAAAGGTTCATGTAAAACAATACAAAGTGAATTTAAACTTCGCCCCATTGCACAAACAGATGGTTATCAGGACTTAGTGGCTAAGTAGACAGTGTGATGGTGTTTGAAGCGAACAGTACTGGGCTAGAGTCCTGGATTGAACATCAACTCTGGGATTCAGGTACATCCAGCTGATGAGTTCCGAATAGGATGAAACGCGCATCCTGCATTCCACTGCTAGTCATTATCCATCTTTGCTTATAATGCTTGTGATTTAAGGCAATTTCGAGGCAATCACATGAATCACATGAAACTATTGTTAATTTACTGTAGTTTTTAAGGTAGACAAATTACTATTTAATGAATTTTACACTAAAAATGTACAAATAAATTTATCAACTATACACTTTTCATATGTCTGATGAGGATAACTGATTGTCACTAAGTTAATTAGTAACCAAGCTCAAATTACTACTGAGATGTATTTCTCTAGTTTGGTTTGTATTACTTACGTCTGTTAGCATAGGCTGACTATCAGCATTCTCCATCCAACTCTATCCTGGACAATTCTTTCCAGTTATTATTCATTCTTTCATGTCTGCTTCCAATTTTTTGACTCAGGGTGGTTCTGTGCCTTCCACTTCTCCGTTTCCCTTCAGGATTCCAAGATAGGGCTTGCCTCATGATGCAGTTTAATGATTTCCTCAATGTATGTCTTATCCACTTGCAACGTCTTTTCATAATTTCCTCTTCAGCTGGAAGTTAGTTTGTTCTCTACCATAGTAGGCTGTTGCTGATGGTATCCAATCAACGGACATTGAGTATCTTGTGTAGATAATTGTTTATAAATACTTTTACGTTTTTGATGATGGTTGCGGTAGTTCAGTAAATTTCAGCACCATACAGTAGAACTGTCTGGACGTTTGTATAAAAAAATTCTGAATTTTCTGTTGATTAATAGTTCTTTTGAGTCCCATATGTTCGTCAGCTGTAAGAATGTGGCCCTTACTTTGCGAGTCTCTGACCTCACATCTATATCAAATCCTCCTTGTTCATCGATGATGCTTCCCAGGTACGCGAACATTCTCACCTCTTCCAGAGCTTCTCTGTAAAGTATGATTGTTTTAGTGTTCTCTGTACTGTATTTGAGGATTTTTCTTTTTCCCTTATGTATGTTAAAACCTACTGATGCAGAGGTTTCTGGCACACTGGTTGTCTTCAACTTCATTTATTGGAGTGTATAAGAGAGAAGAGCTAAGTCATCTGCGAAGTTCAAATCGTTTAGTTTCATCCAAACTGTCCATTGTATTCCGTGCTTTCCGTCAGATTTGGAGGTCTTCATAATCCAGTTGGTTACCAGAAGAAATAGGAAGGACGATGTACTCAATTTTCATAGATATACTTTAGATATGTGATGGATAGCGATGTTACCGCATAGTTCTGACCAAACCCTTGAGTTTGAATCACATTTAGAAACTATCAGAGCAGCTGATTAAAAGTTAGGTAAAGTTATGTTCTCTGAGCTAGATGGCTTGGTCGTGGAGAGTAAGCAGACTTACCTGACTCCGGCTCTCACTTGGAATGTGTCTGTCAACTGTCATGCATGCACAACTCTGCAGTGTAGTCCATCGCATGAATTCCCGATGATGTTGACAATTTTCTCAGGCACTCCACAGTGTCAAAGAAGGTTCCACAACATACTCTTATCCACGCTGTTAAACGTCTTCTCATAATCAATGCAGTTGATTTATAGTGACGAGTTTCATTCATACATATATATAATACTCGGACTTTATCATGAAATTTTATTATGCATCTTTTATCAATTAACTTTCCTGTAGCTGTTTGAATATAAGATAACAAGAATAAGATGTCAATTGAATTGAAGTGAAGACCATAAGAACATATCCAAACTTCAATCAATATTTGAATGTAGTCATTGGTTAGTTATTTGTTCAAGGAGTTCATTTATCAAACGACTTTAAATCAAATTCATTTCTATTTATCAATAAGGCGATTTGTGAAGATTATAGTATTTTCACAGTTGAAATCACGATTCGATCTATGCTAGACCACCATTGAAAAGCCGGAAGCACTACAAGACTATTTCGTTCTAGTATGGGATTCCTGGTGATTTCAACTATGAAATTTTCACAAATCACCATATTATTAAGAATCATGTTCTCGATATTAACTAGCTTCAAGATGGAACTCCTGGAGTTCTAATTAGAAGCCATGACTAGTGTAACCCAATCCGTGTCGGTGATAAGACCTTTCAGTACCGTTGGATACCACCTCAGCGACTTAGAGATTAAGCATTTGCGCACGAAGCTCCGAAGCTCCCTAGTTCAAATTCCGCTTTCAGAATCATCGATTCCTACTGTTGAGTAATTTCAAACTATGACGAACTAGTCTTTCAGTTCTTCCAAGTTTTCAATAATGGTCTACCTTAGATAAACTCTTGATTTTCAATGAAATTATTTATAATATTCACTAAGTATTTCCTATCCAATACATTTTGGCTTTTTTTTTCTTTTTGATTCGATAAACATTTGAATTCATGTGTCCAGAGTTATTTGGCATTGTCGATTATTAACAATTCAATAAAGTCTGACCGTAAGAATTGAAAAAACAACAACAACAACAACAACATACCAATGGTAATAAAAATCTCTAATGTAAACTAATATTTTCATATAGAATACTTAAGTAATAAAATAAATAGGAATGTTGAATGAAACCCCTAGTAACAAAACGCTTAATGAACATTGTGAATATTAGATTATTACGTCATAATACGAAACTCTTTATCCCAACTAACATTAATACATAATGAAAAATTATAAACAAATAAGTGAATGTTTTAGTATGAAAGGAAAAAACAAACAATAAAGATCACTTAATTTTATCATAATAAAATGTTCGAATAATTATTAATGTAAAGCAATTACTCCATATTATAAATACATAGATAGATAGATTAGTGTATAGATAGATAGATAGATAGATAGATAGATAGATAGATAGATAGATAGATAGATAGATAGATAGATAGATAGATAGATAGATAGATAGATAGATAGATAGATAGATAGATAGATAGATAGATAGATAGATAGATAGATAGATAGATAGATAGATAGATAGATAGATAGATAGATAGATGTGTGGATAGATAGATAGATAGATAGATGTGTGGATAGATAGATAGATAGATAGATGTGTGGATAGATAGATAGATAGATAGATAGATAGATAGATAGATAGATGTGTGGATAGATAGATAGATAGATAGATAGATAGATAGATAGATGTGTGGATAGATAGATAGATGTGTGGATAGATAAATAGATGTGTGGATAGATAGATAGATAGATAGATAGATAGATAGATAGATAGATAGATAGATAGATAGATAGATAGATAGATAGATAGATAGATAGATAGATAGATAGATAGATAGATAGATAGATAGATAGATAGATAGATAGATAGATAGATAGATAGATAGATAGATAGATAGATAGATAGATAGATAGATAGATAGATAGATAGATAGATAGATAGATAGATAGATAGATAGATAGATAGATAGATAGATAGATAGATAGATAGATAGATAGATAGATAGATAGATAGATAGATAGATAGATAGATAGATAGATAGATAGATAGATAGATAGATAGATAGATAGATAGATAGATAGATAGATAGATAGATAGATAGATAGATAGATAGATAGATAGATAGATAGATAGATAGATAGATAGATAGATAGATAGATAGATAGATAGATAGATAGATAGATAGATAGATAGATAGATAGATAGATAGATAGATAGATAGATAGATAGATAGATAGATAGATAGATAGATAGATAGATAGATAGATAGATAGATAGATAGATAGATAGATAGATAGATAGATAGATAGATAGATAGATAGATAGATAGATAGATAGATAGATAGATAGATAGATAGATAGATAGATAGATAGATAGATAGATAGATAGATAGATAGATAGATAGATAGATAGATAGATAGATAGATAGATAGATAGATAGATAGATAGATAGATAGATAGATAGATAGATAGATAGATAGATAGATAGATAGATAGATAGATAGATAGATAGATAGATAGATAGATAGATAGATAGATAGATAGATAGATAGATAGATAGATAGATAGATAGATAGATAGATAGATAGATAGATAGATAGATAGATAGATAGATAGATAGATAGATAGATGTGTGGATAGATAGATAGATAGATAGATGTGTGGATAGATAGATAGATAGATAGATGTGTGGATAGATAGATAGATAGATAGATAGATAGATAGATAGATAGATAGATGTGTGGATAGATAGATAGATAGATAGATAGATAGATAGATAGATGTGTGGATAGATAGATAGATGTATGGATAGATAAATAGATGTGTGGATAGATAGATAGATAGATAGATAGATAGATAGATAGATATATAGATAGATAGATAGATAGCTCCCCAAATGCCCTGGTACGGCCGAGAGTGGGAGTCCGCTCTCCCTCTCGAAATGTTCTCACATGGCCACGCGTGCATAGCCTCTGCTAGGGATTTCCTACTCACTGCCTTCTCGTGGTGGGGGTCTTGTTTACAAAAATGAGAGGACGAAAAGCGAATGTCCGGCGCTTTAACCGGATTCCAAACTAATAGTACACATGGGCTCCAGTACCCTGCGGGAACAAATGGCATATGAACCAATTG